TCCAGCCACTGTGGAAGTGGATCTAATTAAACCGGCAGTCTCAAGCACTTGCATAGCATTGACCACATACCTAGAATCGGAGACAATGTTAATGGCCTCTGAGAACCGTTTAAGAATCATTTTAACGATCTGCAGTTTCACCACCTGAGGCTGATCTGGTTCAAATTGTATGGTAACCGGGGGCTTGCCTAGGATCACATAGGCGCCTATCCCCGTCTTAGAGCCATCTGTGTATATTGTAGTTGCTGGGACTAATGGCTCAGAGGCAGTAACCTTTGGAAAAATTATAGGGTGCTGAGTGACAAATGACAAGATGAACACCCATATAAGTCTGGAGGCGACACTGAGGTCTACACCTGCTGACCCAGGGGTGGCCCTTGTTGAAGGCTGCCACCCTGAGCTGTCCTGTCTCTGGGGCGGGGGCCCGTCTGTGAAGGGGGCCCCCTCTGGCCGTTTTTTGGCTCTCTAGCATCTTGTCCACAAATACGGTTGCCCTGAGCATCAAAGACCGACCTACACTCCTCAGCTTTGTGTGATCCCTTCTTGCATCGCCCACAAACATATGGTTTTTTATTCCTAGGGCGAGGCCTAGCATCTGCATTGTTTGGGCAGTGACGTTTAATGTGTCCTGGCTCCCCGCAGGCAAAACACCCTTTAGCCTTACATTCCCCTTTTAACCCGCGAGGTCCCCTCTGCTGTACAGCCGCGGCCAGGAGAGCAGCCACTCCCGAGTTGGAGAGCGGCCCCCCTATCTCTCTGCATATCCTAATCCAGGCATTGAGGTCCTTGTTCTTATGAGGAGCTATCGCCGCCTTGCACTCCTTTGTACACTGTTTGAAAATCAGCTGCCTTACCAGCGGTCGAGCCACTCCCGGATCAGAAAATATCTTATCGGCAGCATCTTGCATTCGGGCCACAAAGTCAACAAATGGCTCTGTGGTACCCTGAATTATTTTTGAAAGACACAAGGAGGCTGTTCCAGCACCACTTACTTGCTTCCAGGCGCGGAGTCCTATGGCATTGATTTGCTCATAGACAGCGCCGGGGAACTGGGTCTGGTCATCAGCGTGCCGACCTTCTCCCATAAGCATTTCCTTGTTCCACCCCCGGTTTCCTCGATTGGCGTTTTTCTCAGCCTGCTCGGCAGAGAACTCTGCATACCAGGCTCGCCAATCCAGGTAACTGCCCGAGGGCAGACAGGCCTTTGCCAGCTGAATCCAGTCCGCGGGGGTGAGGGGCCCAGAAGACAGATTCTCCAGCATGGCAATGGTGTAAGGCGCAGTCGGCCCAAAGGTTGTAACTGCATTTTTAAGTTCTCTAATCTGCTTTATCTCAAAAGGCTCCCATACATTGCGTCCCTGGCCCATAGCTACTTGTACAGGAAATATCTCGTAGGGGCCACTATCTATCCCAGGTGGATGTACCTCATGAGACAAGCGTCCCCCCTGTCAAAGCCGCCTGTAAAAATACCGACCTGCCGGCGGCGGAGCATAAGACAGCGGCCGTGATTGGGCGGAAAATGGGGGCCCGTGCATCACTTCCTGTTCTGGCGAAGAGGAAGGGAGCTCCCGGGCGGCCGCCCCGCGGCGAGGGATCGCCTCCGGAAACGGCCCCCAAGGTGGGGCGGAAGGCTTCGCCTCCCTCTCGCGCCGGGGAGCGCTCAGGAGCTCTCTACTCCTCCGCAGACCAGGTTGAGCAGAGCGCAATTCGCGGGGCAACGCTGGAAAAGAACCCTGCGACTCCTTATTGAGCGATTTAGGCTCTTGACAGCTGGTCTCTTTGGCCTCCTTGCCATTTAACTTTTCCTCGTCCTCGGAGTCAGACGACTCCGAGGCTAGAGCCCCGTCCTCCTCCTTAGCATCCTTGTTCCCCTTGACAGACACCTCTCGGGAGCTCCCTGACTGGGCCTGCTCAGATACCCTGCGTACTTTTGTAAGCTCTTGAGAGCTTTCTCCACAACCACCCTCGCTCTTAGTGCCGCTACCTAGCATGTTTCCCATTTTTTAATATGTTACTCACCGCGTGAGGCCCAAGGAATCCGCCACTTACGCGTGAGCCTGAGGGGAGTCTAAAAGCCCTGTAGGTGCGCGCCACCCAGAGCCCAGGCTTATCCCCAACTCACCTGTCTCGCAGCTCTGTACTGGAGCGTTGTCCACTTCCACGTCTCGGGGGTGATCAGTCCCCGTACGGGCCACCAAATGTCGATGTCCGCTCCCGGCCGGCAGGAAGGACACACGACATAGTCTGGTAGTGGACAACCTTTTCTTTTTATTTTCCTTCTCTGTACAGCCTGCCCTGGGTTCTCCCAGCTGAAGCCTCCTTTGGTCCGCTCCCCGCGGCTCCTTTTGTGCTTCAGCCTGCCCCAAAGCCTCTACCGGTCCGCTCTCCGCGGCTCCTTTTGGGCTTCTACTTCCGGGCTTCTATCTGGCTTCTTCTTCCGCCCAGGGGTGGCACCGGTATATATACGGGTACAGTGTCCAATCATGTTAAAGTAAGCAAGGCAAGCTGATTGGCTAACATCATCAGTTGCCAGGCAGACTATATTGTTGAGCGGGTTGTTTACGCGGTAAGCAGGAAACTAACATATTCGATGGGAGGGGTAATCTACCTCAGGCCTCACTCTTTACTACAGGCCTCACGTCCGCCAAGTGAGGCGACCGGGCTCGGGGCTGCGGCTCCCAACAAAAGTGCAAGTAAATCCGAAACCTACACAGCTTTGCACTGTTGGGTGTGTGTCCCAACACAGTGAGCGTTGCCACTGGTGCTGGTTTTGGGAGCCAGGCTACAATGGATAGTTCACTGTGAGAAGATAAAATTAACCTTCATGGTTTCATAAGATGAAAAGGCAAAAAGTTTAACACCAAAGGAAATGAATGGTTTTCTAGGATTGTACTGTATAATCACAGGCTGAAAAGGCCCCGGAAGGAAATAAAAAGTTTCTACACTGTGCGCGCGCATGTGTGTGCATGTACATGTGTTTTGCACTGAAAAGCCGGCAGAGGAAAGCTCTTTCTCTGGCTCTCCTGCTGGGTGGTCAGAGGAAACGCCACAAAGCCAAAAGCCTCCCACTGAGAAGCAGCGCTAGGAAGAGCCTGCCTCCCATGCAATCACCTGGCACCTGGTCACCTCCTTGCTGTGAGGCAGGCCCTGCACTGGCAGCAGAGGAGCCAGGCTTGCCCGCACTGCCACCAAAGACTCCGTGCTAGGAGCCCTGCACCCGAGAGCATGCTGCACCAGGCTGCCTCAGCTCTGCCATGCACAGAAGCTGTCATCCAGCTGAGCCACGGAGTACCTGAATGCCCGTGAGTACCATCCTTGGTTAGAGCAGGGTGTGTGTGTGTGTATGTGTGTGTGTGTGTGTGTGTGTGTGTGCGCGCGCGCGTGCGCGCGCACGCGCATGTGTGCTGTAGTCTGTTGTGATGCAGGCAGAGTGGGCAGCAAGCAGAAGAAGGGTTCTTTTAGACATTTGCAAATGTTTGATGACACCATGAAAACAACGATGACAAAAACCCTATGAAACGTATCTTGTGCCATGGTTTCATTCCTGTGTGGCTGGACGAATGAGACCCTGTTTTCTCTGAGATTGTAGAAAACCTATCAAGAGCTAACTGATTCCATTTGCTTTTGCAAGAATATATTTTAAAAATTTTATGTTTCAGGGCCTGGGGATTTAGCTCAGCGGCATAAGCGCCTGCCTTGCAAGCAGGCAGTCGTGAGTTCGATCCCTGGTACCAATAAAAAGGAAAAAGGCAAAAAAAAAAAATTTATGTTTCATAAAGGAGAAATCGTAGTCTGTAAAAGAGAGCAAGCCCTTTTTACCCCCCTAGATGAAGTGTTTAGGCTAAAATGTATTCTGTCTTCTTGTGACCTGAAGCCAAAGTGGGCAAATATATTCCTTTTCTGTCTACTTTTTGACATAGGTAAAAACTATTTCAGGCAATTTTTTTCAGCATGGAATATTAAGATGAGTTTGAAAATCCAGATGATACTGGGGATAACTCAGAAACAGGTGGAGTCCTTCTTCCAGAAGAGCCTTTGCCCTGCTTTTGTGAGCATATATTCACACTTTCTGCAAAGAATATGCATGCAACTGGTTGCCGAGCAGGCCTCTGTGGGAGGAGCCCCATTGCAGGGGAGGGCAAGGGCACGAATAATGACTCAGTTTAAAGGACTGTGGTCAGATGCAGGGGTGAGCGATACTGATCTTATACCAAGGGGCTTGGACGCCACACCAGCTGCCACGGTTTGATTAATGAGGCATTAAAGAGATCGAGTGACACTTACAGCTAGTTACTTATGGTGCTAATTTCAAAACACTTTGCAATTGACAAAGAGACTCTGCTCATAATGCAAAGTAATTTGTGGTGTGTTCCTGGCGAATGCATTTAGTGAAGCAAATATAGTTATGCAGAATTTAAATTAGGGTTGACACTAATGTAAACAGAGCCCAGGAACCACTGTCCAATAATTTGATGAGGACACAGGTTTTAATCAAGCCTCTTCCACTAAAATAGCAATTTAAATCCCATCGTTTAAACTGGATAAAATGCTTAAGCCGTGAAGGTTGAGGAAAAAATAGAAATTTACTGGAAAGGAAAAAAGAAACACAATATCTGGCAGGGAAAATGCTTTGACTGAAGAAAGGGCTTTGCATATTGTTATAACTATCAGGTTGATTTCCAGACCTGAGGCTGGGTGTTTGAAGGCATTTACCATGTGTCTTTTGTGTTGTTGTGAAATTGAGGTGGGACACATCTTTGTGGTATTGATCTCAAAATAAAAGAAAACTCCCCTTCCTAAGAATCGAAGGCTCCTAGCTGATTCTGAGATTTCAGAGCACTGTTTTATTATGAGCAGAAATCCTTGCTCCCCAATGGGCTCCTCCTGGAGCTAGGGAAGGGCAGACAGCAGGGCACCATCCCCAGTGGGCTTCCCGGGGTCCCCAGCGGGTGCCCCACAGGCTTTGTCTGGGTGTGCCAGCCCATCTCCCTGGCTCCTCGTCCTTGGGGGAGGGGTGGGCTCCAGCATTAACATTCATTAAACGCCAGCAGCCAAGGTCCAGCCTGGGAGCTTCTGTGGATGGAATCACAACCAAACAAAACAGCAGCTAGTCCTGCCATGTGCTGGGAGGGAGAGAGAGTGAATCTTCCAGGGCCTCCTGTTCTACTGCTGGCTGAGGGAAATCCTCAGTTCTCTGAACTGTGACTCTGACTGCTCCAGGTCGTGTGAGCAGTGTGTCTGCAGGGGGAGAATTTGTACAATGACATGGGTTTTCCAAACCCACACAGAAGAAAGAGCCAGAAGTTATTTGGGGAGATAGTGCTTTCAGTGTGCAGTATTCTGGAAATGCTGCTAGCAGGAATGTTTGTGACCCTCTGCCTTAGGTGCAAAGATGGGGGAGCCTTCATGGTTAAGCATGGGGGAGGGTCTCAGCTTTTATTCTGCGTAGACATAGGCACAGCAGGACCAAGAAGATGGACCTTAAACATAGACATTGAGCCCAGTCAGGCACACTGGGGCACACTCCTGTAATCCTAGCACCCTGTAAGGCTGCAGGAGGATTGCAAGTTTGAGCCAAGCCTAGGGAACTTGGCAACTTAATGAGACCCTTTTCCCAAATGAAAAAATAAAAAATGGGCGGGGCATGCATATCACTATGAAAGCTATGAGATCAAACTCCAATTCTGATGGAAAACAAATCCTTAGTGACTTACAAGATCCTGCCTAAAAAAAAAGGGTGAGGGGAGGGAAGGCATCTGACTGTGATGGTCCTGGGTTTAATCCCCAGTATCCTTACCCTCTCCTAAAAACACCACCGGGTCCCAAGGAAAGCCTGTCCCACATATTCCCAAACCCAGCAAGCAGGAAAGGCATTACAGGACTGCTCCAAATCCTGGTCACTTCTTCTCTGAGATGGTCACAGCTTTCTTCATTATTCTTTTTATGCTGTCCTTTAGAGCATGCCAGCCCTACTGTCCTGTGGACCCCCTTCCCACCATGCTCTAAAGTGGAAGGAGCCAGGATGAAGTCTGGGCTCCCCGGTTAGGGAAGATGAACTCCAGTGTGCTGTGTCCCCAGAGCAGAGGCCACAGGTCTGAGAACAGCAGACGCCCAGCTCTGTGTCTAAGGTAGGATGGCTTCCATGATGCACACCAGGCCACAAGGGGCCTGCGGGGGCTTGTCCCCCCTCCACAGGATGGGAGCAGAACCAGTAGGGGTAAAGGGGACTGGTAAAGAGGTTCTGGCTTTAGAGAAAGAGAAATGGCTTGATGGTGATGGTCCTGGGTCCTGGATGATGGTCTTCCTGATGGACGGGGCCTCTGTGTCCTCTAGTGGTTCCTCTGGGACAGTCCCTCTGCAATGGCATGGGGAGCTGCTCTCCACCCTACTGGCTTGGTTCGTGACTGTGCAAGATACAATCCCCAAGAGTGGGCTGGGTGCTGCTCTTCACCTGGAGACCACATGCATTTGGGGTCCCTTGGCATGGGGTCTATGACACTGTTCCTTTGTGAGCCCATTTCCTGATGTGGGACTCTCCAGGCACATACTTTCACCCTACCCTGGATGTGGGTCAGTGGCTCACACATGCGATGCAACTCTTGGTCTCTGTCTCTCGCCCTGCGTCTCTTGGTACCCAGTATCACAATCCCGCGGACCCTTATGAAACCACTGGCTCTGCAAGCTGTTCTAGAAGGAATGGTGCTGGCCTTGTGGCTCAGCTCATTTCCAGCTGCTGAAATGTGGGGCTGAGTGGATGCCAAGCAGTTGGGCAGCTGGAAGCTGGCTATTGAATGTGGTGGAGGGGCTCACATTCCTCTCTGCCTGGGGAGAGAAACACAGACCTGTTTCTCCTGCCCTGCCCTTGGGTCCGGAATCTCTGTGACTCCCAACAGCAGAATGGTTGCTATGGATTTTAGGGTTATCTTAAGAATGCGTCTCAATGAGACTCAAGGGCAGGTGGAGCTGGAGCTGGGACCCTGTGGCACCCTGCTGCCATTGCTGGGCACACCTTGCCCTCCTGGGTTCCTGCAGGCCTCTGCATGGCAAAGGGCACCCTAGGGCACCGAGCTGGCCTTCTTCAAAGAAGTCTTTGCTATCTTCTTCTGCCATGTAGCTCTGGGCTGGAGACCTTTGTTGATTTCCACTTAGGCAGTGCAGTGATGACTAAGTTCCTCTTATCGGCCTGAAGCCTTCCCTATTCATGGGCAGTGCTGACCCCTTCCAGGCCACACCACAGATCCTCTGTGGCCTCTCCACGGCAGCCTGGCCGGGGAAAAGGCCCTGCATTCTGGGAAAGGCTGGCCCATGCCAAATGCCAGTATTGGTGGCAGGGACTCTCAGGGAAGCCATGGGGAATGGTCACCAGCTGTGCTCTCACTCAGGTGTGGGAGAATAGGCTGGCAAGCCGCCTTGCTTTGGATCTGGAGAGTTGCTGATAAAGAGGTTTAATGGCCAGGCTGGGGGAGGGACTCACTGTTAGCAGGCTAAACAGACGTGCTCAGATTTGGAGCCTTTGTCCTGCTGCTCTTCCAGCAAGCAGTTGAGGGCTGGTCTAAGCCTAGGTCCTTTATTCCAAGCCTCACTATTTCCTTGGTTTCTCAGCTTCCTTCTTTCTCCGCTGGGCACAGGTGGGTCCTCAGAGCCTTCCGCCATCCATCCTTATAGGTCCTGGTCTGAGCTCTGAGCCAAATTACAGAACTGAATCACATGCAGTTAGGTATTTTTATAATAAATAGGCTGACAATGCCTTCCTTTAGAAGTCTGTTCAGGGGAAGCCTCTGTGTCATGAAATTTTTCCAGGTAATGGGTGCTCTTGTTACTTACGAGCAGGGTCCTAAGAGGGGCACAGAAATGAGGGGTGGGTGCATTCTGATGGTTGAGGGAAACTTCTAGGACTTCCCATACGCCCTGCTGTGTGTAAAGTGGTGTCCACCGGCATAGACCAGCAGGGCTAGATTCATGTTCCCTAAGCCCCAGCTATTCAAGAGTCAGCTGACCAAGGCTTTGGTGCTATCTCTGCCTTCCTTTAATTATTTACCAAATTCTTTTAATTCTTCTTTCATAATGTCATGTTTATCACTACTTTTCCATTGTCCCTGCCAGTGGCAGCAATGTGCAAGCAGGGAGAGTCTTGAGCGTCTGCTGCTGTCCTCAGGGTGCCTGCTTGTGCAGGCCACAAGCCCCTCCTCCATCATCACCTCCAACCTCATATTTCAGCTTTAGCCACAGACCACAATCTGAATATCACTTTCAGGTTAGGAAAATCAGCTACAGCTTATTATGGGGGAAAAATCATGTCATGCCCATATTCAAGAAATGCTGATGTTTTATGTCTTCTCGTACTGTACATCTAGCCTTGAATTTCCTACTCATCAAAAGAGGTGAGATTTTCTGTAAGAAAGTAACTATTTGATTATCCCTGCCAACACAAAAAGTGTTGGAGGATTTAAAACAGATTGGTTGGGTAGATGTTCCTGATCCTGTCAGCCTGAAAGTCACAAAGAGGGAAACAAGAAGATCTCTACACCTACTTGTGTGATGTCTCAAGTAGCACACTGCATTTGTTGGCAAGAAATAAAATATGAATTGCATCAGCCTCAGGGTCTACATCCCACATGACTGAAAAACAGAGGACAGAAGAACTTGTTAAATGGCACCATGTGGATGCCACCAAGAAAATCCTCAGGGTGAAGACTATGCAGCACCCAGAAACTCATCTTAGCAAATTGATAGGAGGAATTAGAGGACCGCTCACAGGTACAAAGAGAATGAAGTGCATCTGGGTAAATACGTTATGTGGGCTGCATGTGCATCTTGATTGCAATTGAGCAAAAGTAGGAGAAAATCAGGGAAATTTGAGTATGGGTGATTCAGAAACTATTATTCACCTTTTAGATGTAGTAATGTTATGGGACTATATTTTTTAAAGCCTGTATTTTTTAGAGGAATTTCTTAAAGAAGTGCTTTAATATCTAGAATTAACTTCCAAATAAACCTGTTGGGGGACAAAGTGGGTATAGCAGAGGTAACTCAGTACTAGTGAGGTGGAGACAGCCTTATGGAGTGATGTGGTTCACTGTTCTTTCTGACATACTTGGAAAAAGCAAAAGGGAGAAACTTGGGGCTCGTATTCATGAAGACTTTGTTCAGGTCTCTCCACAGTTGGGCACTGAAGATAGCCAGGGTTTAGAGTGGCTGTCCTCCTGTCCATTTGGCTGCCCCTCTCTGGACATCCTCCATGTCCCACATGGTGGTGGCAGCTGACCTGGGTGAAGTCCTTTTGCAGGATGCTGCTCTTGCTGGCTCCCTGCTCTTTTATTTGCTAGTGGACATCACAAAAGCTGGCTCTGAACCCCACACCCAGCAGCCACTCCCTAGGGATGTGCTGTGTGACCTCAGCAACATGGACAGTATCTGCCAGCCTTTCCTTCTCAGGCCTCTCTTTTCTTTCTGCTTCTGTGCTGCTGCTACTCTGATTTTCCTGATTTTGCAGACTCATCTTTACCCAGCCAGTTGGCCCGCTCCATCCACCCAAGGGATCTGGCACCCACTGTCTCTTCCTTCTCTTGCCTGTCAAATCTAGAGAATTCATCTCCTCAAACACCGGGGCTAGGGAGAGGCCTCGTCCTGCACGTCCAGCTTTCCTCCTCTGTGTTTTCTGGGTTCCTCTCTTCAGCACCTCACGGATGGACTCCCTGCTTAGAATTTCCTAAAACTAAATCCTTCCCTCCCTGTCCTTATCCATCCTTCCTGGGGCACCATGCTTAGTGGGGCTCATGCCCATACAGTCTTTCACCTCTGCAGGTGGCCTCCTTTCCCACCCTCACCCGGCCATTTAGCCCCTGACTTGCCTGCTCCTCTTCCCCAGGATGGCGTCAGAAGGTACTCAGGTCTCTCCCTTCCTTCCCAGCCATCTGGGACCATCAGGGTCCCTGATTCTACTGGACGAAATTCTAAACTTGCTTCTCCATAATTAGAGAAACCACGTTTTAGAGTCTAAACAGTGAGAAGTAAGTGTAGAGATTGCGGAGCAAGCTGAGGGTGCGCTGCTAAAGTGTGTGTGTGTGTGTGTGTGTGTGTCTGTGTGTGTGTGTGTATGTGATTCCTTAGTGGGGACCTGCTATGAGCCCCTGGGTCCCAATCTGAAAACCTGCTTCAGCCTCACCCTCCCCAATCTGAGTCCTCACTGACCACTGTGGACCCCTTCTGGCGAGGTAGATGTGCTAGTATGTTCCAAGACCCCACCCAGCAGTTGTCGATGATGGGCCTCTGTGGTGGCAGCAGCTTTCTTGGACTTTAGCTCACTGTATGCTGGGAGGGGTCTGGGCTGGACATAGCTACCGACATAGTTCTGGGCTTCCATCTCCCTGTCCCTTCTGAAGAGGGAGAAGGCCAAAGCAGCACGTGACAGTCAGTCAGCTGTGCTCTGAGCATAGTAAATGCAAAACTCTAGAAATAAACAAGTACGAAATAATTTAAACCTCGTTATAGTAGATCCTTGTACTTGTTCTGTTTTATTTTAAGTTACAGGTGTGCACCCACCAAGTAGATGCTTCATGTGGAGAGTTGATTGCTACTTGTAGCTTTAGGCACTTGGAACGTGTCCCTGGGGTCAGCACATGGGTCCTGCCTTGCCTGGCTCTGTGCTCCATGTTCCTATCTTGTACTCCTTCCCACCTACATGTTCTTGTGCTCTGCAGTAACTCCTGGTTCCAAGAAAGCTGTTCTGTGTGGATAGGGCTGGTGATCACCCTGCTCAGGGTCGGCTCTGGGTGAGGGCCTGGAAAGGAGTCACTCAGCTAGAGTCTGCATAGGACTGCTGTTCAGAGAGCATTCTTGGAGTGCAGAAGGGTGGTGGGGTCCCTAAGCTCAGCCTCCTCAGTCTGATATTCTGTTTCCTGTCTGCCAACTGTGTCCAGGATGGAAGCTTCCAGGCACTCAGGATGCCCCAGTGGCAGTGGCTACTGTGAGCAGTGCCTGGATGGGCAGGCACTCAGGGAGCCCTTGCTGAGCAAATGAGTGGTTGACACGTCTGCCTGTGTTTGGTCCATTTCTGTTCACTGTGGCCCAGGGGGGTTTGGGCAGCTGTGGGTGAATCTCGGGGCAGGTGGCTGCCTGCTGTGCCTGTACTGTCTCGGTCCCTGACCTCAGGAATAACCCCATTCTTTGACAGCACCCTGGCTTCAGGCTTCCATTGCCCTCAGCCTCCTTACTGAGTGCAGGTAGAGCCTGTCTAGAGTCCTGATCCTAGGCAGGGGCTCAGCCCTGAGATGGCAATATCTCAGTTTCCATTTTTGCCAATGTGACCCCAGAGCTGGCCTGATTCTCAGGTCCCTGGCTGCACTCACCTGCAGCAGCGTAGAGTGAGGGAGGCCTGGAGACCAAGACTGGCATTGCCTCCAACCCTGAACTCCTGCAGGGTGTCCCCGCCAAGGTGGGGACCAGGAGCGAGGTGGTGGTGGGCTCCTCTGATTAACAATCTGTCTTGATGAACAGTGAACTCCAAACAGGGCAACTTTCTGCTGCTTGACAGATTTTTGACCAGCACGGCACTGTAATGACTCTATCTAAAGGCATCAATGAAACTTCCAGGGTGCCTTTCACCAGCTCTTCCTGGCCAAAGCCATTTTGTATCCCTTGAGATCCTAGTGGGCTCAAACTGTTGAGGGATTGGAACTAGTTTTGAAGGTGAGTTTTCTAGGCAGAGGAGAGGACGGGGAGGACACTGTAGGCCAAGGAAAAGCAGTGTGCCAGCCCTTAGCTCTGGCTCCACTGCCTGTGCCAGGGACACGCTCACCTCCTGCTGTTTACCTGCCCCGATTCCTGCTGTGCCCATGTAGCCCAGAGCAGTACTGGCACGGGCAGGCCAGGGTGGAGGCTGTGGACACTAGGCAGAGCATGGCCCCATGCTGGCCGAGCCTGACGCAGGAAGTCTGGTGTTTGTTGCCTCAGGTTCCACAGGGCCAGCCTGTCACCTCTGCTCAGGCTCTGTCCTCCGTCCTTGTGTCTATACATACTGTCCATGCTGCTGCTGTTGGGGACGCAATGTTTCTGAAGCCCAGAGGTCCATGCATTCTCATCACCATCCTTATCACCATCATAACCAACACCACATCACTAGGTTCCTGGCAGTGGAATACTTTGCTCCTGTATCCAAGGACTCCCAGCACCTCCCTGTCCCTCCTCTGCTGAGCATAGGTGACAGTGTGTTGCAGCATGGTCATGCCACGGCTCGGCTGTGTGGTTTACACTCCTCTTGGCATGTCTGGCCCCCGGGCAGGCTCCCAGATACACCTTTCATCCTCACCTTCAGATCTCCTCTTCCTGCAGCTCCCAGGGGAGGGCTCTCTCCCCATGGTCATCACCGAAACACACCTTGTCCCAAGGCCAGGCTGCAGCACTCTTCTTTGACCAAACCCCCAGACCTGCATGTCTTTCTTATGATGCTTGATGTATTCATTTTGGGGTTTTCTTTTCTTCCCCATGCTTCTAGCCTACAGCCTGGGATAGATCAGGTGCTGTAAGATCATTGTGGAACTGCACTAAGCACCAGTTACCTGCTGCGAGGGTGATGTGAGACAAAGCATGAAAAACTGTGTTGTAGAACTAAGTGATATGCAAAAATGCTGGTGATTATGGCAGTGATGGTGGTGGTGATGTCCATGATGGCAGTTATGACAGGGAAAATGGTCATGCTGCTGGCGCTGGTGATGGTGAATGTGTAAGATGTGTCTGTTACCCCCCTCCCTACTTCTTCACCCTGCCAGAGATCGATCCTCATGGACTACATCAGCAGCCTCTCTGGACCTGTTTTCTTTTTTGTTTCAGTCAACAGGAACCATGATGGAAATTCAGAGAGCAAGAGGATAGTTGCAGAATTCATTTTCCCAATGTATTACTTTTCCCATTCCTGGGAAGCAACCCTGACACCCACAATTTAAAGGAACTTAATTTGGCTCATAGTTTCAGAGGATTTAATCCATGATTGCCTGATTCCAAGGCAGAAACATCAAGCTGGAAGAGTCGGGTGGCACAATGCTGCTTAATTCATGGGAGCCGGGAAGCTGAGTAGGGAAGCAGAGCCACAGAAGAAGAGGTGAGGGACTGGATAAGATCCCAGGGCCATGCCTCAGAACCCGCCCAAACATACCTGGAGATGTGCCCCACCAGTCAGGGCAGTCCAAAGCCAATCATGTTGACACAATCAAGCTTAACTGTCACATCCTATCCCTTGTCAACTTGAAACCTAAATATCTCTCCTTAACTCATACCTACTTTCCAGGTAAACTCAGTAATAAGTTAGCAATTCTGCCTATATTGACTATAAACAGAAATGCACTACCCCCTTCTCCAAAGTTTCATCAGTTTCAGCATTTTTCAAAAGTTGAAATCAAAGTCTCTTCTGAGACACAAGAGAAACTCTTAGCTGTGAACCTCTGTAAAACTAAAAAACAAGTTACGTAATTCCAAGGTACCATGGGACAGGGTAAGCATTCTCATTCCAAAAGGGATAAATAGGGAGAAAGAAAAGAATTCCACCAAAGTGAGACTGAAAACCAGCGGGGCAAATGCAAAGCCCCATGGCTCCATGTCCACCTCTGGGGTCCCAGTGGCAACATGTGAATTTCAGAGGGTGTGAACACTTCCCCTCCTATGGCCATGCTGTTTGCAACCCATCTGGACTGTTTCTCGGGCTTACCCCACACACAGCATGAAGCCTTCCTTAGCAGGTATTTCATTTTTCTGGCACCTTTGGTTTCACAAATTGTCCTCTCCAGGGCTTCTTCCTTTGAAATCTGGGCTGGAGACTCTCTGATTCAATTTTTGCATTTTTCATGTGTGTAAAACCTGCGTCACACTGATGCTGTCAGGGTCTGCTGCTATCATAGGCATGAGCCAGACCCCTTTAGATCATGGCTCAGCAGTCTCTGAGTAACTGGATGGCTGAGCATGGTGGAATCCCAGAGAAGCAATGTCTTAGGTGGCTGTTCTGCAGCAGGGGGCACAGGGACTTTCTTCTAAGATGAAAGTTGGTTTTTTTTTTTTTTTTTTTTTTTTTTTTTTTTTTTTTTTTTTAATCGGTCCCGGGGATCGAACTCACGACCACCTGCTTGTAAGGCAGGTTCTTATGCCACTGAGCTAAATCTCCACCCCCTAAGATGAAAGTTTTATACTGTTTCACCTTTATTCCTATGATAGGTGGGCTTTTGCTGGTCCCTGTGATGCCCACAAAGAATCTCCTCGTCTCTGTATAAAGTGCTTGCTTTCTTTTTAATGGTTTCTGATTTCTTCAGTCACCATGCTTCCTCTGGTCCCAACTTTACATGTTATTTTTGACCAAGATTTTCAAAGTTTTTCAAACTTTTATGCTCTTCCTTGTGCCCATTGTTCTCACTATGAATGTGATTAAAAGCAGCTGGCTACACGCATGCCACAGTCTAAATGCTGAGGTTTTTAAAATTTTTTTATTTTGTATGGGAATCAAACTCATGGCCTTGTGCTTGCCAGGTAGGCATGCGCTGCTGAGCTATATGGCTGGCCCTGTTGGACCTCTTTGAAATTTCCTCTGCCATATAAGTTAATCTGTGACTCTTAACCTTAATCTCTGGCAAAGTTTCAGGACATGGAAAAGATATAGGGAAATATTTCTGCTGCAGTATAACATGTCAGGCCTGTGATCCAACTGCCAATGGAGTCCTTTTTCCCAACTAAAACTTCCTAAGCCTGGCCTTTACTGTTTCCATTCTTATCAATGTTTGGGTCCCCTGAGCTCTGGTCAGAATTATCCACCAGCCTCTGCTTACAACATTCTAGAACTTCTCTAGCTTCTGTTGCCAACCTTTCCAAAGACCTTGTACAAACAAGTTCCAAAGTTTTCTGAACAATGTAGTAAGGTATACTTACAGCAATGAGACCACTTCTCCAAAACCAATCTTCTGTATTAGGCAGTTTTCCATCGTTAGGGCACAATACTTGACACTCACAACTTAAAAGAGGAGGAGTTTAATTTGGGCCAAGCTTTGAGGATTAAGCCCTAGCCTGCGGGTTCCAACATGGGAACATCACAGCAGATGGGTGTGGTAGAACAAACCTGCTCAGCTCATAGTGGCAGGGAAGCAGAGAAAGGGAATAGTGCCCAAGAGGCAGGGGCAGGAGACTAGATGCAGACCTTGAGGGCAGCTTTCTGTAGCACACTCAGGCACACCCCAAAACATCAGCAGTGCCTGAACAGCTCTCAGGTCAATCAAGCTGACACAAGCAAACTCAGCTGCACACCCAGTGTAGCTTTGCTGGTCTCCCAGTCTTGGGCCCTTGAAACACCCTAGTAAAAGCTCCTTCCTTTGCCTCTCTGGCCCCTGGCCCAGGGTAGGAGCAGCTCCCTGCAGATGCCAGTCCCAGAGTGTGTCACTGGTAAATGCCTTCCATCCCATTCTCGCCACTTGAAAACACTCTCCACAGCTGCTCCTTTCTAGTACTTCTTCGGGTTTCTACATAAAAGCCTGACAGATCCAGTGATGGCAATGGTGGCAACCATGATAATGAGGGCAGAGACTTTTCCCAGCAGGGGCTCTGGGGGCACTAATGAGGAACTCAGGCAAAGATGCTGCAGAATTGTGGCAGAGATGAGCAGAACCCATTGTGTTAGTTATCTGCTGCCTTGTAGCTAGCTACCCAAACTCCAGGAGCTTAAAACAATGATGGTTTATTATTTTTTATCCTTCTTCAGGTCAGGAATTCAGCAGGCACCGCAGAGTACCGTGTTTCACTGGGTCTTCCAGGCCTCTGAGAAGCTTGCAGGGCAGATACCCTCTGCTGATGGCTGCTCCAGGGAGTAAGAAGCCACGCTGCCCCTGGGAGTCAGGCTGGGTCACATCTGTCACGTTCACTGCTTGAGGTAGGAGCATAGGGTCACCTGGCCCTGCCTCTAGATGGGGGACTATTGGGGTCACACGGTGGGGTGTGCACGCACAGTACTTGAGACCTTGACAAGGATCTTCCTGCTCAGGCAGTTGCAACTGTGCAGAGCACAGTCTGACCATGACAGCACCCAAGTGGGGAGGAGCCCATGTCTCTGAATCACCCCTGGGGGCGCCACCCAATCTGTTCAACCCATGGAACTGTGACAAGCTTCGAGCATGTAGGTCCTCTGAGACCTGGTGATTGCCATAAGAGTGGAAGTTTAGCCACATCCCGAAACTGAGTCAGTGCTAACAGCACAGCAGGACAGTCCCTGAGGGCCAGGGTTAATGATCACACTACCCTCCCACCCCTGCTCAGTGAGCAGCACAACAATGGACAGGAGGAAGCAATGGTGGTTCTCCTTGGGCAACCAACCAGCAGCTCTATGCTTAGAGGACTCGACCCATCCAAAGCCGGGATGGCTGCACATACTTATAAGCCCAGAGTATCCCAATTTCTAGTCCAGCCTGGGAGACTTAATGAGACACCATCTCAAACTAAAAAGGACTGGCTGTAGCTCGGTGTGAAGGCCCTGGGTTCAATCAACCCTTAGCACTCAAAAATAAAGAAAAAGGACTTGACCTGGCCACACGGAGGAAACCGTGGGCGTGAATGGAAGCAGGCTGTGTCCAGTGCTTACCTGAAGGACTGGGGGCTGAGATGGCTGTGTCGGAAGACTGGTGGACACAGGACACTGACTGTGGAGAGCAGTCGGTTCCTGGCCAGGCCAGTAAGAAGCCTGGAAAGCATCTGTCAAGTAATATTTAGAGCTGACATTTTCATAAGGACCTGGTCTGCAGAGGGTTTCTCAGGGCTCGGAGAAGCACATTTCTCATTTTTCTCCTCCCACCTTCTGTAATTAAACAGTGCCCCAGTACTCAACACATGTTTACAGGGACATGGCTGACAGCACGCAGTTTGCAAAGATTTTTATTTTGAAGTAATTCCAACACAACAATAATTCCTATAATAACAGCTTAATCATAGCTTCAGTAAATGCCATTGTCTCCTGATGCATTTGAGACTGAGTCGTACATACCCTGTCTGTTTACCCCAAGTACTTCAGTAACGATGTGTTCCCTAAAAATAGCAGTATTTTCCCATAGTCAGAGCATAGCTGTCTACCCAGTGAATTTACAAAGTGCGACAAAATTTTTCTCTGATCTACCACCTGCGTTTCTGATTCTGTAAGTACTGGGACTTAATAAGAGACCATTCAGTGGTCACCCCGATAGTCTCCATCACCTTTATTCATCTGGAACCCATCTGTCCCCATAGCCTCTCTGGCCTCTCATGACACTGATGCTTTTGAATGATGCGGCTGTGAATGCAACACATCACCTCTGCTGCTGACACCTGCCACCTCACGGAGACGCCCATTCCCATCTGGGCCAGGCCAGCAACTAGCCAGCTTATTTGTGGGGGAGTTAGACATGGTACACTCTGAGCTGTCACCTTGCTTCTCCCTCCCATCCTGGTTGCTCCATGAAGGAATATACCTTTCCAGAGGTCCGATGTACTCCCTGACGTTTGTCCTTTTTTTTTTTTTTTTTTTTTTTTTGTCTTTTTCATTTTTTACCGGTACCAGGGATCGAACTCACGACACGACTGCCTGCTTGCAAGGCAGGCACTTATGCCGCTGAGCTAAATCTCCAGCCCCAAGGTTTGTCCTTTTATCACACAGGTGCATGAGTTTCAGCCATACACATGCGCACTGCCATCAGGCAGACCCATGGGTTGAGCAGTTTCACTCAATAAGCCGTGTCCCCGGGCAGCCCTTCCTTTCCCGCCTCACCCCTGTGTGGTTTGCCCCCCTCTCCCCAGCCCCTGCAGACCTTGGGCTGTTTGCTGACCTTCTACTTCGCCTTTCTCAGCTTGTCATGTATGTGGAATTATAATTTTGCTGCCTTTCTCCACCTAGCTCTCTTGCTCAGCGAATGCATTTGGAGATAGTCAGGTCATTGCCTGCATTAGGGCTCAATTCCTTTTCCAGGATGCCTGGTATTCCTTGTCAGAGTGTCCCACAGGACATGGATCAGTTCATACTGTCAAGGACATTTGTGTTGTTTTCAGTTTGGGGAGGTTAAGAATAGAGCTGTTATAAACACTCTGTGTAGGCTTTTGTGGAGACTTATGTTTTTATTTTTTCTGAGCAACTGAAAGAAAGATTTCCAGGTCCTACATAGGTATCTGTGTAGCCTTTCTTACGCAGCAAGTGTTTAGTCCTTGGAGCAAGGGTGGGTTGGCATGCCTCTGAGCATCTTTTCAAGGCCTGTCTTCTTTGCTACACTTTTTTGGTCCACTGTCTGCTTGGATTTTTATTTAGTTGTCTTCTGATTATTCAATTTGAGTGCTTGTTATGGATTGAGAACTGGTGGTTAACAACACCAGCTAGATTACATCAGCATGCATTGAGCAAAGATGCTCCACTTGAGGAGGGTTGCCAGGATAAATAGGTGGAGAAGAAGGGAGATGTGGAGGGTTGAGGCACTAAGGAGCCATTGTGGGTTCTCCTACGAGTTGCTGTCTGAGCTGTTGGTTCTCCTGGAGAAGCTTTGGTCCTCACATCGAGCATTGCTTCCTGGCTCCGAAGGGGAAGACATGTATTGCTTGGTCTCCAGGATGAACTCATCACGCTGCTTCCTGGCACGTACCCGACTGGGCTTGTCGTTGTCAGAGCTCAGGGCCTCCGTGTCACTGAGGACAGCTGTGGTGCCTTTCAGGATAGCCCTGGTCTTTGTTGAGTGTGACTTCTCGGCTCCAGCATAGAACCCTCATCCCCCCAGCACAGCTCCTTCATCCCGCTGGCATGGAGTTTCTGGCTTCCACCACTGACCCTTGGGTCTTCCCGGCACGGATCCATAAGAGAGACTGGCGTGAGTCCTTCTTGTGGGCTCTGGACCTCCAGTTGGACTCGTGGGAGGCATTGTCCTGAGCTCTGGGTTTTTATCTGGACTCACGTGGGACATTGCCATGGGGTTTAGGCTCTTGACTAAATAATCTATGTCTTTGGTGTTGCGGATAGATTTCTTGCATTTTCTTGTGTTAACTTCCGGTGACCATTATAAAAATATTATAAACTCCATGTTCTAATCCTAGTGTTCTCTGTGTACAACCACTGACTACAACAGTGCTTTTTTACATGTTCTTGATAAATTCTTTAAATATTATGTATTTTGCAAATATTGATCTCTCCTTGTTGGTGGATTTTCTCTTCATTTTTTATTCTGGTACCAGGGATCAAAGATTTTCTCTTCATTTTTAAAATAATTACGTAAAGCAGACCTATTTAATTTTAAGTCAAATTTATTAATTTTTTTCTCTTCTATGTCGTGTTCATGGAGTCATATTTTTAAATGTGCATCTTAACATGAGATTTTTTTTCCTGAACATTTTGCACATTTGCCTTGGGTCTGTACCCACTTTGAGCTTATTGTCGTAGTTTGTAGGGTGTAGACCAAGGCTTCACGTACGTACCCTTGGCAGTTTGGTAGTCACTGTTTCCCTGCAGTGATAATATTAACTCCAGGAAGCATTCTGCAATTGCTTTAACAGAAAGAAGCATAAGAAACAGCAGATTAATGAAGCCAGGCTCCCTTCTTTCTTTGCAGTGCTGAGGACTGAGCCCAGGGCCTCCCACCGGCTGGGGCAGAGAGTACTCTACCAGCGAGCTGCGCCCAGTCCTGCTCAGTTGTTATGAAGAAGATTTAATGGCTGTGTTGGGGAAAGTTCTCTAGAGGAACAGAATTGACAATAAACGACCCTGGGGATTTACTAGGAAGGCTCGCAGATCAAGCAGGAGGGCCCACGGCGGTCATCTACACCCTGGAGAGCTGCACACTCCAGTAACTGCTCAGCCCAAGAGCTGGAAGCTGCAGAACAAGAGTGACCAAGGATGCAGCCCTAGGGCTGATGGCCTGGAAGCTTCAGGAGAGGAGAGTCGCCGTCTGTGATCCCCTTAAAGGCTGCAGAGATGGAGTCCGATGTCCACAGGTGATGGCAGTACAGCAGACGCACCTGCTCAAACTTTTCAAGAGCAGGGTGACTTCCTCCTCCTTCCCCTTCGTTCCCTTGGAGCTGCCTGCTATTGGATGCTGCCACCTACATGGGGGTGGGTCTTTTCCCTGGGTTTGCTGGCCTGCGTGCCAATCATCTCTGGAAACACCCATAAATGTGCTTACTGACCTGTGAGGGCGCCCCTGGTCCAGCCCAGTTGACACAGCCAGCCTAAACTTAAGGCACTGCTAAATCGTGAGCTGGAAACCGTGGCAGCCAGGTCATGGGAGGGGCTGATCTGCCACCCTCTCTGCTGCCCAAGCTATTCTTAAATTTCTGGTAGTTTTTAACCGTGGCAGCCAGGTCATGGGAGGGGCTGATCTGCCACCCTCTCTGCTGCCCAAGCTATTCTTAAATTTCTGGTAGTTTTTTGAGCTTTAAAAAACAGGATTCTGGCCAAACAAAAGGGTGGGAAGTCCCCTAGGTGCTGGGCTGTGGTGTGTGCACAGCAGCCAGGAGACTCCTTCTGTGGAAAGGCAGCTCGAGTTAAAAAATCAAACCCCCATGTAAGTCAAACTCTAATTTAAAACCCCAACCCTGCGCCAGTCTAGCTGGGGGGCAGTGGATGAATCGCTTTGCCTCTCTGATTGCTTCAAGCTCTCCGGGGTCTTATAAACTTTAATTGTGAACAATGAAAATAAAATATGTCTGCCAAATGCTTAGTCTTAGACCTGACATGCTGTGTACACTTCAAAAATGCCAGCTCTTTTTCTGGTTGTCCAGTATTTCTGCACACACGTTTCACTCGCTGACCTTTCACCTAGGTGTAGCAGGCATTGGGGACATCAGAATGTGTTGACAATCCCAATGGAGCTTAGCCTGCCAGACCCAGACAAGCGAGCAGACTGAAGCCAGGGCTTGGCTGCTTGCATAGGAGTTGTCCTGTGTGTGTGTGTGTGTGTGTGTGTGTGTGTGTGTGTGTGTGTGTGTGTCGCATCTCTGGGAGTTTGCAATTGGTGACTCTGTGTTTGTTTTCTGGTAAAGATGACATTAAGGCAAAGATGCAGCCTATAAATGATGGCATGTTCAATGAAGGGAGAAGGATACGTGCAAGACTAAAGAGACATCTGAGCCACCAAACGCTGACCCTGGGACCAGGACTAGGAGACCCCATCCAACTTGGGGCAAGGATGCAGCAGGGGGCCTCTGGTGTGACTGGACAAAGTGGGACTTGCGGTGGTGGACACTGGTTTCACCCTGGCTTTTGCCCTCCTGAGCCCCAATGGCCTTCTTGCTCCAAAGTCTTGGCCTTGAGGAGGAGGAGGAGGAGGGAGAGACCACTCCCAAAGCAGCCCCTGGCTGGTTGTAGATTCCCTCAGGGGTCCTGCCTCCAGCTGAGAGCTCAGGAGACTGGAGGTGTGGGGGAGGATGGGAGGGGTGGGCAGGAATGCAGGACCTTATCTTCCTGACAATGATTAACCAGGGGGCTGCAGTAGGGCACTAGACTGGGTCTGGGCAGGCAGGCAAGGTGCAGCAGTTCAAGGACGGCATGGGAACTGAGAGAGGCCAGGAGCAGAGGAGCCGCACTTGTAGGCCGGGGAGACCAGGATGAGGGCAGAGGGTTTCTGGCACCCTGGAGACTGGAATGGACAGAGTGCAGGATGTGCAGAAGAGAATGTGCTCATGTTGACAGACCTGGAGGTCACCCAGCACTATGCCAGGCTGAGAGTGAGAGGGCGAGGTTTGGGCCCAAGAGGCTGGTGATGCTGAGATCGTCATCAGGGCGTCTCCCTTGGGATAGCTGGGGCCTACTGACTTCCACCCGGCCCAGGGAGGATGCAGTGAATCCCTCCACTACCCCAGCTACCAGAGCTGGGGCCCACAACACTGGAAAGGAAGGGGGGCCAGGGAGCCAGCACTGGCTCAGAGGATCCAGAGAGGTCTGGAAGGATTGGGGCAGAGCTGAAAGGCTGCAGGTGTCCAAGGTGGGTGCTGCTCACAGAGGCTGGGGACAAAGGCTGGAGAAACGGAGTCCAGGCGAGTTGAGCTGAGGAAGAGATGATGCCTGTACCCTGAATTCTTTAGAGCTGCCATGTGGTATGAAGCACACCTGATGTCTCTGTGGGTCCCCTTTCTCTGGGACGGGGTGGGGATAGGCAAGCTCCTTCTACACCTAAGCAAACCAAGGCCCAGAGAAGTCCGAGATCTGCCCAGAGTTGTGCAGCCCCAAGAATGGAAAGAGTGTGGTGCTGTGACCTACTACCCCAGCACTCTGGAAGGCTGAGGCAGGAGGATCAAAAGTTAGCCACTTAGAGAGACCCTGTCCAGACAAGTTGGGGCTATAGCTCAGTACCAAGGCTCTGGTTCAGTTCCTAGTACCTCCAAAAGATAGATAGATAGATAGATAGATAGATAGATAGATAGATAGATAGTGAGAGTCTCTGATCTTAGCCTGACTAAGGCCTGCTTAAACTCTAAGTCCAGCAGAGGAGGAAGGAAGAAACAGGCACGCACTTCACACAGGGAAGAGAGTTTCAGCAACTGCCAACCCTGACTTTAATACCCCCCCTAGTCCCAACATGGGGACCCTGGGGTGGGCTGCCTGGCCATACCACAGTGGATGTGGCCTCCAGAAAGTAAGTAGACGGCCTCCTGCTGTGTGACACACTCATGCTCTAGTCCCTGGCGTGTGGGGTTCTGGAGATTTTCTGGGAGGACTCGGATTTCACAGAGGGTGCAGAGGTGCAGAGGTTGAGTGCACGGCCTCCTCTGGCATAGTGAGGACACTGGGGTCTGGAGGGGAGCTCAGGCCCTGAGGGCTGGGGTAAAAGATGGCACCTCAAGTGCATGTGACATCTAAAAACAGGCGCTTGCTCTTCTGAGATCATCCAGAGGGGCCCCAACTCAGAGTTCAGGGCCTTAGGGACTTGCTTGGTCCCAGGTGCAGTCTGATGCCACTGTACCCAAGCGTCATCTGGCAGAGTAGCAGAGATGGCAGAGTGGGCGCCGGAGCTGAACGTGGCTGACCCAGCAGGGCTCCTGAGGGAGCTCGACCCGGTGACGCTTCTGGGAAACACTATCATAGATGCCATGTGGGCTGGGCTCAAGACCCCAGATGAAGGTGCTCTATGTGGCTTTCAAGCGTCTGGCCTGAAGAGTGACCCGAGAGCACTTCATTCTCACACCTGCAGCCTTTGTTCTCTCCTGAGTTAATGAGGCCACTGGGTCACTAAGGGCCCCAATTTAAGGGGAGCAGTGGCAGAGACAATGTCTTCCAGCATTCCCACCTGGCTTCAGCATTCCAGGGTGGGCGAGGGCTGAGCTCTTGTCCCAGTGCTTCCTTGGCCCGGCTGTGTGCAGGGCTCTGTCCCCCAGGAGCTCACCATAAGCTTTTCCCCAACTGGGCTGGAGAGCCCTGGGTCATCCCCAGTGAATTCATGGGTGCCCTGGCCCCCAGACTGTATGAAAAAGCTGATTGCTTTTTCCTGGAAACCCTTTTTGGGCAGAGGAACCAGGAGCCCAGAGGCAGTCAAGCATGTAGCTCAGTGTCCTCACAGGTACATGGTGAGGCCAAGCTGTCCTGCTAAGGACTCAAACCACCAACTTCTAGAATGGCCACTGTGATCTCCACTGACTGGCTCTGTGCAGTTCTGTGCCCATCCTGGCCTTTCTCGACCACGCTGGTTCTTCTGCCTGTAGACCCTGGTCATAGTCAGGGCTCGTAGATATCTGCTTATCTAATAATATCCATGCCTTAGCTCTACCTATAGCTGCATTTGAGTGGAGATGGATGCGGTTGCATTTGTCACTGACGTGGAGTTTGCAAATGGAAGCAATGTTTGCTGAATAGTTTTGTGAACTAAATTGTTTGCAAACAGAAGCGTTGGTGGATTGAGGTATTCCTGTAGCTAGTTTAGAGAAAGCTCATATGATAGAGTGTGACAAGCAGGAAATACCCACATTTTATTGACTTTAGTGGAGTTCAGAATGTTTCTTGCTTGACCTGCATTCTTCAGTTATAGCCAAGTCACGCTATCAGATACCATTTGCATGTTTGCAGTGTTAGTTATCACCTCCACACACACACACTCGGATGCCCGGAGGGATGGAGGAATCTTGTTGTTGTTTGTCACCATTGCTTCTCATATGCAGAAGAACTATGAGACATTGCTGATAAATCCCTGGTCGGGTTTCCTGGGTCTGAAGTTCTCCCCAAATCAAAGGTACCTAAGACCTCTGCCAGGAAGCTCAAGGCAGCAAGGAGTGAGCAGAGACAGCATGCAATCCTCCCAGCCATGCCCTGCTCCACTTGGGAAGCCAAGCTTGAGATGTGGTCACCTGAGCTCTGACCTGGCTCTAGCTGGCCCACAACAAAGGGTGATTACAGTTCTCTTGTTATACGGGGCGTAAGGGGAAGAGAGAGCTGGGTTTCTGACCTGAGTGCCCTGCCTGTGCTCAGTGTCCTCACCTGTCTCGTGTCTGCCTTCTTGCTGGCCTCTGTTCCTGACATGTGTTGGGGTCATCTCAGTTTGGGAGCATCGTGCCCCTTTCCTCAATCCAAGGTCTGCACCTTGAAGCTGTGTGACCTCAACTTCAAAGCTCGGCCATGAGGTCCTGGCAGAAGTTCTGGTGGCAACAATGGGCTGGAACCGGGGCCAGGTAGGGGCTGTCCAGCCGGCGCCCTTAACCTGGCGGCTGCTGTGTTCAAAGCCTTTGCTGCAGCGATGGAACAATGCGTCTGGCAGCCTGCGAGGTCCGCTTTCATGGCATGGTTGTGTTCTCCTTGCCAGCCGTGCCAAGCCGGTCCTGGGCATTAAGGCTGCTGGTAACACTCTGGAAAAATAACAAAAACCTTTCTTTTTCATTCAGGAAACAAATGTGCCTAACAACATCAAAGGGAAAACTTACATAAAGAAAGCAGGGTCTGCCCGCCCTCCCACCCTTGATGTTCCTCCTTGTTCTGTTTGTCTTTTTATTTAACCCAGCTGTAATCAGCGTAAGAACCTTGCTGCTCTGTGCTATTTTACTTAGCATAGCAGTGGGTGTGAGGCAGGTCTACTGTCTACCGCCTACGGGGTGCTTGAGTGTGGAGCCCTTTCCCTGGGCAGATGTCAGGGTGAGTTGCAGCCCTCTCCTTCCCTTCCCTTCCGTTCCCTTCCCTTCCCTTCCCTTCCCTTCCCTTCCCTTCCCTTCCCTTCCCTTCCCTTCCCTTCCCTTCCCTCTCCTCACCTCTCCTCCCCTCCCTTCCCCTCCCCTTCCTCTCCTCCCCTCCCCTCCCCTCCCCTCTCCTCTCCTCCCCTCCCCTCCCCTTTCCTCTCCTCCCCTCCCCTCCCCTCCCCTCTCCTCTCCTCCCCTCCCCTCCCCTCCCCTCTCCTCCCCTCCCCTTTCCTCTCCTCCCCTCCCCTCCCCTCCCCTCTCCTCTCCTCCCCTCCCCTCCCCTCCCCTCTCCTCTCCTCCCCTCTCCTCCCCTCCCCTCTCCTCCCCTCCCCTCCCCTCCCCTTTCTCTCCTCCCCTCCCCCCCCTCCCCTCCCCTTCCTCCTCCTCTCCTCTCCTCTCCTCCTCTTTCCCTCCCTCCCCTCCCTCCCCTCCCCTCCCCTCCCTCTCCCCCCTCCTCCCCTCCCTCCCTCCCCTCCCCTCCCCTTCCCCTCCCCTCCCCTCCCCTCCCCTCCCCTTTCCTCTCCTCCCCTCCCCTCCGCTCCCCTCTCCTCTCCTCCCC